CTTTGGAGAGACATCTTTCTTGGTTCAATTGCCTTCTTTCAGATGTGCTGTGACCATATCTGAGTACGGTACTGTGTTTTGTAACACGACGATGAAGGAGTCTTTTTGTGCGACGTGAATTCCACAAACGCAGGAGGAAATCTCAGCACTGTGGCTAGCACACACTGCTGTATTGCTTCAACAGCGGAATATCGATGAAAATTCGATGGTTTCTTACTCACAGTAGGCTGCTGGCTTCTATCTTGATGGTATGGATATGTCACTATGCACAAATTACGTTGTTTTACTGGTAGAAATTAAACTTTTTCAAGAGCCCGATTAAACTGCTGCGACTCGGTAAAGAGGCAGGGCCGGATTCCCTCATTATCCTTGATTACTTGCAATTTGTCTTTTCGGATAACGTATATATAATATATCTATATACGCTATAAATGTGGGCGAAATATGTCAAGTGTACTAAGGCCTTTTAAACAATTATCTACAATCTCAATTTAGCATCATGGAAAAATGTCTTGATACTATTCGTCATTATTCGTCAGAGCGGTCCGGTGGACCTTTGCTCTTAGTTAAAGTCTCGTCGGTCTGTTAGTCTGTCAGGTCTGGCTACCCAGATACCAAACATTTTAAGGGGAAAAGGGAAAGAAGGAAAGAAAGGAAGGAAGAAATAGAGCAAAGAAAAGAAGTAAATCATTTGATATAGCTTAAGCATTATTGCTTTGACTACTCGAAATATTTAGTAATTGTGCGTGAGGTTCTGTTTTGCAGTACTTGCAGTCTTTACATGCGCGTCTTGGCAAGAAAACACCAAGCCGCGCATGCGTAGGTAATTGCGGGTCTTTGACCATTTTATACAACCGAATCTTGTTGATCAGACTCAATTTTGAATTTATGCACATCGGAGGATAAAGCTGCCGAAAGGTAATTTGGAATTTTGTTTTCAAAATATCAGTATGTTTCTGCCAGGTCAACCCCTTGTCAATGATGACTCCAAGATACCTGCCAGATGATAAATGCAGGTTGTCTATTGTACACAGCCATTCAATGCCTGCGGCAAGATCGCCTGCAATGCCTGGCTCCACATTCTGCGTGTTCAAAGTGGATTGAACAGAGGGGGCAGCCGAAGATGTTGAGACGGCTGCTTCCGCGTAAGACTTGCTGCGTCTTTGCGCTATGACTTCCAGATTTCGCCTGGAGGTGAATCTGCATGTGGGACTGTCCAATCCATCTCCGAAGAGATCTACGGAAATCTAATCGGTTTAAGCCTGTAGAGTGGTAGTTGCAAGCCCCATCGCTCTGCGACAAATCCGAAAAAGTATCTTTTTTAGATCACACCTTGTTTCTTCCGAACAACAGGCCACCCGACATATATTATGTTAGGCAATGTTCGTGTATGTGATTCTCCCTGGAAAATGTTTCGTTAGCAGGCAATCAAGAATATCCTACACAATATAATAATAATAAAAAATGTTTATTGCCCAACAGTTAAAGAAACCATTTGCAGGACAATCCTAAGATAAATCAAAATAACAAGAACAGAAAACACATAAAAGCAAGAGATTTCATCTAGAGAAAAAACAAAAAAGAAAAAGAAGCAAAAAAAACATATTTCACTCAGGTGAGTAACATATCATAAGTTATCCAAGCAATTTCTAGCTATTCCCAGACTGCTGTTCAAACTGTCAGCACGTATATCACAATAATTTGATATTGCATTGAAAGTTTCACACATGACATATATGTATGTGTTTCCTTCAAAAACAAATTTGTGCGAGAGCTGTCACAATAAAATGCTTTAGCTGTATGAGTTTGAATAGATGGAACATTAAAGTTTATTTGAGCCACAATCCTATTAGCATCAATTTGATTATGCAGTAGTTTATGCAAGAACATAATTGATGCACACTTCCTTCTCGGTTCTAAAGACTGCACTTGAAACCTTGACAACAACAAACTTTCAGATATACCACGCTCAGGATATACAGGGTGTCCCAGAAGTCGACGTCAAGCCGAAACCGGGTGATAGGCAAAGTCATAACAGCTATCAGAAAAATATTTAAAAACATTTTATGCATGTGTTTTGAAAATTATAGGTCTTTGAAAAAAATATAGAAATTTCACACCCTACGGCAGTCTGTCAACTCCTGTTACTACAAATATTAACTTTTTTTGGATTTTATTTTTACAATGTAATGATGAATAATGCATCTTCAAACTGGTGTCTCAACCTTACTGCCAACTTTTCTCGTTCAGGAAAAATTGCCGCACAATGTTAGAAAGACACAGGAAAGATCCACGTTTCTTTAACAAAATTTTATGGTCAGATGAGACAACATTTAAGAAAGATGGATACATGAACCTGCATAACTTACACGAGTGGCACGTAGCAAACCCACATTTGATGAGAGAAGATAAATCTCAATATCGCTTCAAGATAAACCATTGGACAGGAATTTTAAATGGTAAAATAATCGGTCCGTTTGAGTTCCAGGAGACTTTGACTGCTGAGGTTTATTTAAGTTTTTTGCAAAATCATTTAGAAAATTTATTGGAGGACGTGCCATTGAGTATTTACAGGGACATGTAGTTTCAGCATGATGGCTGCCCAGCGCACTATGCACTCTCAGTGCGAGAGTATCTCGATCAAAACTTTCCAGGCAGATGGATAGGGCGGTCTGGTACAATACCGTGGCCAGCCCGATCATCTGATTTGAATCCTTTAGATTTTTTTACTGGGGAACTGTAAAAGAAAAAGTGTATTTCAAGCCGATTCAAAGTGTAGCTGAGCTACGGCAAAGACTATTGGAAGCAGCTGAGTTTGTTAATAACCGTGGATTCGCTCGTTTAATAACCCGATCTTTTTTAAGAAGATGTCGAGCGTGTATTGCGGCTGAAGGAAAACAGTTTGAGCATTTGCTGTAAAGGTAAATCATCATCAGCAGCATTTTGACGCCCACTGTTGTGCAAACAGTTATCCTTAAGGGTCCTTGTGCGTTTTCATAATCGCTGTTTAATTAGGAAATTTTGAAAAATTTTCATCAGTTTTTCTTCAAATAAAAATTGTGCATAAGTTAACGAGTAATCTTCTAAGTGTTATACCATTTTGGACTCGTTATTAAATGCGCCAACTTTTAAGGTTACTTGCCAAACTCTCGTAATACATTTTTTTCCAGTACAGCCAGTTAAAGTTGAGCAAAGTTTTACTTTGGAATACTTGGTTGGGAAATAAGTGGCAATTTTTCCTGAACGAGAAAAGTTGGCAGTAAGGTTGAGACACCAGTTTGAAGATGCATCATTCATCATTACATTGTAAAAATAAAATCCAAAAAAAGTTAATATTTGTAGTAACAGGAGTTGACAGACTGCCGTAAGATGTGAAATTTCTATATCTATAATTTTCAAAACACATACATACAAATTTTTTAAATATTTTTCTGATAGCTGTTATGACTTTGCCTATCACCCGATTTCGGCTGGACGTCGACTTCTGGGACACCCTGTATACCGTCAAAATTTTAGAAACTTTATCTAAACCAATACCCAAAAGAATCAACGTAGCAGTTGTAAATTGGGTTTCAAATTAACAATGCATATTCCAGTTTCTATCTAATATATGCAGAATACAAAACCAACAGTGACCCTGGGCGGTTAAAGCTTCTACAGTTTCTCATAATAAAACAGTACGCCCTCTAAGCTTCACTCACCTTTTGAGCTATGTGGAGTGAAAAAATAGTTTATTCAAAAGTATGCCATGGTCCACCCTATCGAACGCTTTAGCAAAATCGGTATATACTACATCTAGTTGACCTTGCCGATCGACACACTCACTAGTGAAGTGAGTAAAGATTGTTAAATTAGTTACTGTGGATCTCTTAGTAAGAAAACCATGCTGAAAAAGGGACAGAGATCTATGAACTGCGGAATAAATTCTATGATGCAATATTACCTCCAGCAATTTGGAGAAATTCGACAATATTGCCACCGCTCTATAGTTTTTAATATCAGTATTATCACCTGATTTGAAAATAGGTGTCGCGCTAGAAAGTTTCTAAATATCAGGGAATGTGTTGGTTTCTATAGTCACATTGTATATTTTTAACAACGGCTTAACAAAGACATGAATACAATCTTTGACTATGAACGAGGGATGTTGTCTGGGCCGACCGTTACTCTAGTCTTGAGTTTTTTAGATGCAGCAATAATCTTATTTTCATGAATGTCATTGAAAAATATGTTAACCTGACTAGTAGGATTCCTGCCTTCAACAAAATCATTATGAGTAGATAGATCAACAAATACACTATTAAAAAAATCTGCAAATGCATTGACAGCACAGTGAGGATCGTTCAGTGAGAATTCATTCAACTTCATTTCATCAGGAATCCTAGTAGTTCGATTTTTTGTATGCATGAAACTCCAAAAATGCTTAGGATCTTGAGAGATGGAAATCTTACGTGTATAATTTTCATAGGCCACAGATATTTGACGCTTTACCTCAGATCTAAGACGATTGTACTGTTCACAATCAAAGGAGTTCCGAGGTGGCTTGTAGCCTTTTTCGTCCATGGTTCCTTGTTTCATTGGTTTTTAGTAGATCTCGGGCTTTTACCTGATGGGGTTTCAAAAACAGAGTAAATTCAAGGAAACCTTTTCGGATGAGATGTTTCGCTCCAGTCAAGTGACAGTACCCAGTCCCTGAAGTACCACGAATCTCGACAAGATTTTTCAGGTCACACCTTGTTTCTCAACAATAATAGGCCGCATGATGTCCTTTATGGCAGCCAATGCATGTGTTTGTAATTATCTCTGGAAAATGTTTCACTAGCGGGAGTTAAATAACCAAGGACACTCCAGAAGACTTCAGCAATCAAACGAGCTTCGAGGCAAGGTAATCGAAGGATCTTTGAGATGACCTAAGTAGCTTTGAGGAACATGCAGAATTTTCCTGTAGCCTTTTTATTCTACGATTCTTTATTCCACTGGTTTTTCAGTTAATCTTACGTTTTTATCTGATGACGCTTCAAAAAGCCCCAACGACATTCAAACAAACCTGAGCGCAGGAAATCCTTCGCTCCAGTAAAGCGACAGTGGTTAATCCCTGCTATACAACGAATCTGGAAATGCTTTTTCAGGCGACACCTTGTTTCTCAACAATAACTGGCCGCACGACGTCCATTATGGCAGCCGATGTTCGTGTATGTAATTATCCCTGAAAATGTTCCGACGGCGAGCGGAAATAACCCCAAAATGTCCTTTGAATGTTCGTCGTGTCTCCAGAGTAGCGATAATTTGATACGTTCCGTGTCCCGAATTCCACAGCGAGCCGGCATCTGCAGGGATCTGCCGTCGATAATTTTTGCGGCAGCGGGATGAATCCTCGGGATCGACACTGACTAGGACTATAGGGAACTCAGGAATGATATTAGGGGCCAATGAGACAGCGGTTGCTGGATAATCAAGAAGATTTGGAGGGAGGACAATGGAAGGTAGAGTAATTTAGATTTGGTGTGGATGAATTCAATAGAGGGCTTTGAGTTTTGACAATCACAAATACCGTATACGTTCAGGCAGCGGGGTCTACATGATAGTTAGTAGGTGGTAGGCGAACTCGAGTGTGGAGGTACCACCTGGCGGATGATTAAGATGCGATACTTTATCTTATTAAGTACATTTTACTTATTGTGAACTCTTTTATTGTAAAATGTGTCACACCTACTAGCTGTTGTTGACCAAAACTGCTTTAATTTTGCGAGATGGAATATAAAGTCCGGTGGTCAAAAACTGTCACCGAAGGTTCATATGCTTATCCTAAGATGTGTACGTGTGGTTCATCTATAAAAGGTGACTTAAAAAAAATAACGAGGAAGACTATACATAGAAAATGTTTTAGAATATATTTGAGGAATCTGCAACCTGCTCCACGGTGAACGAGTTCATTCCCCTTCCCTCACTTCTTTACTTCCCCCTTTCCAGGTTCTTCCACGATATTTTTGCTGGTGGTTTGGGTTGGGTAGTTGTTGGTGTGTCGTACCTTGGGCGATGGAAAAAGACGTTCTTATATACTCGGATACTGACAGTTTGTTGTAGTGTTAGCTATATAGACAATACAACTGAAGACGACAAACACCCAAATTTTGTGTGAAATATCTCAATTGCAGGGCGATACATAATTAACTTGCAAAGTTTACTTTCAAAATGCACGTATTTCATTAGGTATTTAGATAAATGACAATACAATAAACTTCAGAACAGAATTTTTTCACATGCAACCTCAATTTTTTTATTAATCTATCACATTAAGCATCATTCAAAATGGGTATAGCTGTCCATTTCATCCATTAGTAGTATCTGACATTTTTGGAAATATTAGTTTTTTCAATATTTCTCAAATTACTCTGTTCACTGTGACAGGACCTGTGGAGAACTATTATAGTAATAGAAAATGATTTATCTAAGAAGGAGACATCGTAATTTTTGGTGCTTAATCCAATGCGATTGTAAATGTGGGTGATTTCGATTTCAAAAATAGGTTTTTAAGGGCTTTTCGAAATTACCTCTCATTGTCCCTTTTTATTTGTTTATCTAAATATACTAAGTGACATATAAATCCGAACACGCAGTTTAAATGGTTTTATTTTAATAAAAGTTGGTGAATGTATTTATCTTACTGTAAATAACAAGTGAAAAAATTTTCAGCCTTATGAGTTGGACATTCCGGTTTTTATACTGCTTTTTTTTAATTCACTAACGCTCTAAAAATGAATATCTCAGCCGCAGTAAAGAATCAACGTTGGCGGATTTTGGTTCTTGACATCCTTTACGATCGGTTACGATGCCTAGAGTACGGAGACCTGTACGATTTCGTCAACTTAGTGAGTTTGATAGGGGCCGTATAGTGGGACTTCGGGAAGCTGGACTTTCTTTTCAGGCAATTGCAGTTAGAGTGCAAAGAAGTGTAGACAATGTGGTTAGGTCTTGTCAGGCATGGCTTCGAGAAGGCCGTACGCAAAGAGCAAGGGGCACTGGACGCCGCCGTAGAACAACAGACCGTGAAGATCGCCGCCTAAGATTATTGGCCTTAAGGGACCGTTTCTCCACTACCAGGTCCATTGCAAATGAATGGTTTTGCAGAACACGGAAGACCTATTGGCATGCGAAGTGTAATCGCCTTGAGTGGTGCAGACAACGGTCACTCTGGGATCAGGAATGGAACAGTATTGTCTTTAGTGACGAGTCTCGATTTTGTTTAGGCATGCACGATGGTCGTGCCAGGGTTAGAAGGCGACGTGGTGAACGGAGGAATCCATAGTTTTTTGTTGAAAGACATGTTCATCACACTGTTGGAGTTATGGTTTGGGGTGCTATAGCTTATGGTTCCAGGTCACCTTTAATCATCATCAGAGGTAACATGAACGCGCAGCGTTATATCCACGAAGTTCTAGAACCCCATCTTTTACCCTATCTTGACACCCTGGCAGATCCAACTTTCCAAGAAGATAATGCCCGACCACATGCTGCAAGAGTCACAATAGACTTCTTGCAACATAATGATGTCACATTGTTACCATGGCCACCAAGATCTCCCGACTTATCCCCAATTGAGCACGTGTGGGATATGATGGGTAGGAGATTGCTCAATTTGCAACGTCCTCCTCAGACTCTAGAAGCACTTCGAGAGGAGTTGGTGGTTGCCTGGAATGAGATACCACAGAAGGACATTGACCACCTGATCAGAAACATGCCTAGGCGCCTTGGAGAATGCGTAGCACATCAGGGTGCATCCACACATTATTAAAGGTCAAAGGGCTGTAAAGCAGTGCAATCATCTTGAAATTTTTATCATTTACTTATTATGCTTCATTAAGTACTTATACAAAATTTTATTAAAATAAAACCATTTAAACTAGGTGTTCGGATTTATATGTCACTTAGTTTATAATAAGGTCTATTGAATTTTGTTGAATCTAGCATTAATGCTACAATGATAGTGTAACATACTATATCAGAAAATAATTCATGTCTTTATTTAAACACTGTTCATCATTGTTTGAAAAAATATAAATTCAAGGAAAATTAATAATAATTATTCACCGACCTGCATTTGAGGTTTTTAACACAAAATCTGCAGACTCGAAAATGGCCTGATTAGGAATGTGATAACATACATGAAAGGTCTGTGGAACTGTAGGTGGAATACAAAAAATAAATCATATACAGAGCGTTCCATTTAAAATAAACAAATTGGTATCTACCTTCAGTATAATCGAAATATGTATATTTTCATCTCATATATTCAGATATCAACAGTGTATTTTATTGCCGTTTATTGAAAGAAAAACGCTGAATCGTAAAAACGAATTTTGTGTTTTTATTTTGAAGTTACATACCTTATTGTACTGTTGCAGTAGGTGGCGTCGTGATCAGGAAGGTGAGCAATAGGCTGAGTCCGCTGACAGCAAAAATGAGCGTTGAGCGACTTGGCGGTGGAGAAAACCTTACAGGCGATGAATTGCAACCATTCTCATTGCAGCAATACGTCATTGAATTCCAGTTCTCTGGAACAAATCAAAAACGCCGTTATTGTTTTGTTGTCATAATGTCGGAATGGAATAAAATTTCACCCGTGCGATTAAAAATGAAGTTTGTTGGCTTAATTGTCTCAAAACCGATCTCATTTGACAAGAAATTGTGTAATGCATCTCAGAAAAGCTCCTGATTTCCACTTGTTCTTCAAATGGGTCAAGTTGACCATCTTTTGACGTAAAAGCGACTAATGAAAATTCCAGGATGGCAATCGGGCGTCTCTTGAAACATTTTTTGAATTGGGATGGCGGTCACGTTAGATCCTATTTTGAAGCAACTTATCAGTACTCCAGAGCGCTAGAGTATCAAATTTTGTTTTTCTTCTTCAAAATTGCGGTTGACACATAAATTGAATCGCTTGTGACTGAACAGCTACTATCAAAACAGTATGTTTTTTTTTAAAGAACGTTAGTTATTTCATTATATCCGAACTGATCCTTCCAATAAGAATATTGGTATAACGTAGTGAAGCATTTTGATGAACAGCTGTTGAGTAAAAGGTAACTCGTTGGGTAAAAGCGCTTAACTGTGGCAGCCTATTAGTCCGCATTTCGCAAGATATTAGTTATATTTATAAAGTCCTAATAAGGAGCATCAAAATGAAGTTCACATGATCTTCCTTCCCACTTGAAAAAATATTCCGTGCTGGTGCACAACCATCAGCTTGAAGTTTTCAACAGCAACATTCAATCTAAAATACAAGATGCAGGCTTTGGTGCGGTGAGTTGGTGCGTTGTCATGGTGGAGGTACCAAGTGTCCTTTCTTGACTTTGGCCGCAGGTTTTTTATTGTCTCTTTGGATTTAGGCTCTGTTCTTAGCTGTGACAGTCTTCTCTGTGTCCAAAACAACACGCTCCACAAGCTCGCTCGATTTAAAAAAACACAGCTATAATTTTTTCCCACAGTCACGGGTGTGTCATCATCAAACACCCAAACCGTGTTTTGAACCTTGGTCGACGCATCGTAATATTAGTGCCAAGTCTTGTTAGCTGTTACGATGCTGTTCATATACAGAGATTGTCCCTTATTTCAGCATCTTCGTACAGCGAAGTCTTCTGCTCTCCCGTCAGAGAATGCGTACCCAGAGAGAACAAAGTTTGTAAATGGTGATGCAGAATTGAAAGAATTGCTGATGCATGAAGGTGTAAGGTCTCCCCTATCTGTTGGAATGTCACTCTATGGTGTTCGTCAAGCATTTTCCTCACAGCGGTAATCTTTTCCTCTGTTATTGACGCACGATTCCTTCCTTCCCTCTCAGCGTCCTTCAGAATAAAATTTCGCTTTGGAATTCCCTGTACCACCTGAATATAGTCGTACGATGAGGACAATCATTCTTTAACGCAAGCGTCATTTATTTTAAGCATTAGTCTATGCCTAGATATACAGTCAAACTGCCCTTACCTTACAACGTGACCGCGATGTCATAGACCGTACTTTACAGTCCATATGAACAATGATATGATGTTAAGTCCTGCGGACATTCGTCAGAAAATCTCTGACAAAAGAGTCGCTATTAAGCAGGCAAAAAGGTCTTGTCATCCTGATGACATTCGTAAGGCTACAGATCTTGTCCTTAAAGCGAGAAACGCACTGCACGAACTCCGCAACGAGCAATGGAGCTACTTTCTGGCGGGAATGCTTGATTCAAGTATTCCTCTCTGGAGGGTCGCAAAGTCACTCAGAAACGGAAAGCGAGAACAACTCACGCACATCCACGGTCCTTTACATTATCTGGTTTCTGGGTACTGACAGATTCGACTAACGTACATTAGACAGTGACTAATGGGTAAAGGTATTACGGACCGCCCAGACAAACAACTGACGAATAGTAGTATGATGTTTATTCATATTGCAGAATTTTTATAGTACCCTTTGTATAGTATCACTCCAACTTTCAGGTTGCTAGTCCGAGCCGTACGAAGGAAAAGGGAATCTTTTGAAAAGTACTTTATGCACAAGATTGACATGGATAGAATTGAACGTATACAGAATTCCTGCCTACGATTTATTTATGGTATACGTAAGTTTGAAAGAGTTTCACATAAGTTGCTTGATGCAAACTGGTTGAATATGCGATGTCGATGTGAGTTGCATGCATGTAATCTTTTTCACAAAATTATGTTTTTTAAGCAACCACCATATTTATCCATTAGAATAACTTTTCGCACCGGTGTTCATAACTTAAATTTGCGGTACCGGGGCTACATGTCACCTCCTCCTCATCAAACTTCTCTGTTTTGTAGATCTTTCTCGTACAACATTTACCGGCTTTACGTTCAAATTCCTAATGACTTTAAAATTCTGCATCCAAACCAGTATAAAATCAAATATAACAAATTTATTTTTGAAAAACACTTCAGCGCACATTAATGTAAATGAGGCACAAGCGACCAAACTAACGAAAAAGAATTTTTTTTATAACTATTATTCTAAATCTATTATTCTAGGCTTTCTAAGTTAGATCTTTCTTTTTATATACGAGTGTGTACGTATATATTTCGGCAACGTGGCACACGCCCACAATATTCGTTCCATCTTTCTACACAGACATTGACAACCTTCGGCCTTCTGTCAAAGGGTGCATCTCACTCATTATTCCATGACCACCATTTTGTGCAATCATCAAGTGGCTTCACGATGTAATGCTTTCATGTTCTAAAAACTTTTAATCTGTTTTTAACTTGTTCTTGGCACACATTTGTGTGTATTTTATATAATTTTGACCATTGTACCATCTATCCAGCTTTCACCATGTTACTGGGTGTTTCCCTCATCCTGAACGTTAACAACAATTAGCAACATCCTCACATACCACTGTAAGTTAAGTCAATTTAAATTCATTTTACACTATTGTTGCTACTGTTATCAATGTAATTGCAGCTCCTGATGATGATGGCAAAGTCCATTGAAAGCTAGAGAGAATAAAAAAAGTATAAAGAGTCATCTTTGCTTGAATTTTGTCGAAGTACCCAACAAAAGGCGGAAGGTTTAATTTTTCACCTAACTAGTCTAGACGACAATGACCACGTCTCAAGTTATATATATATATATATGTGTGTGTGTATATGTGTATATACAGGGTGTCCCAGAAGTCGACGTCAAGCCGAAACCGGGTGATAGGCAAAGTCATAACAGCTATCAGAAAAAAATTGCCACTTATTTTCCAACCAAGTATTCCAAAGTAAAACTTTGCTCAACTTTAACTGGCTGTACTGGAAAAAAATGAACTACGAGAGTTTGGCAAGTAAGAAGAGCTTGAACACGCTGTACGTGGTATGGATGGAGCACGTTTTTTTGCAAGATTCTATGGGCTGTACTTTTGGGCACACCTGTTCTTAGTTCTATTGCATGCAAGTACGCGGGTCTTCTTCGACAGCTCATAGCACCACGTATTCGTAAGGAAGGAAAGATCTTCCCTCATCGTGTGATTGGTTTGGTAGTTGGCCCTCTGAGAACAGTAAGCGGTGCACGTTTGTGAACACTCGATGATCTGGATGACGAGCTGCATTCGGGTACCTCTCACAGTAAAGTCTCGCTGCAGCACTAGCGTTGCATCTGCATTCCCCATAAATGAGGTGCATGTTAGCATATTCTTGTACGGTGTACACGGACATAGCGGCACTGCACAATCACACTATCAAAGATAGTCTAAGGAAAGCAAATATTGTTTTGAAGAGCAATTAAGTAGTCCAAATCCAAATCACAAGCGATCAACAGTCCAGTTCACGAATCCAAAATTAGTAACAGTACGAAATCAACAAGCACGAACATGTAAAGATGCGCAGTAAACGAAGGAGTACTGATCGGTATCAAAGTGTGCAATAGCAAGTAAGTGATGTGCTTCATCCATACCACATACAGCGTGTTCAACCTCTCCTGCCCCGGGATCATGAGCCCCGAGTTGCTTTTTGTCGCACAATGTTAGAAAGACACAGGAAAGATCCACAGTTCTTTGAAAAAATTTTATGGTCGGATGAGACCACATTTAAGAAAGATGGGTACATGAACCTGCATAACTTACACGAGTGGCCCGTAGCAAACCCACATTTGATGAGAGAAGATAAATCTCAATATCGCTTCAAGATAAACCATTGGACAGGAATTTTAAATGGTAAAATAATCGGTCCGTTTGAGTTCCCAGAGACTTAGGCTGCTGAAGTTTATTTGGATTTTTTGAAAAATCATGTACAAAATTTATTGGTGGACGTGCCACTGAGTATTTACAGGGACATGTGGTTTCAGCATGATGGCTGCCCAGCGCACTATGCACTCTCAGTGAGAGAGTATCTCGATCAAAACTTTCCAGGCAGATGGATAAGGCGGTCTGGTACAATACCGTGGCCAGCCCGATCACCTGATTTGAATCCTTTAGATTTTTTTACTGGGGAACTGTAAAAGAAAAAGTGTATTTCAAGCACGATTTAAAATGTAGCTGAGCTACGGCAAAGACTATTGGAAGCAGCTGAGTTTGTTAATAACCGTGGATTCGCTCGTTTAATAACCCGATCTTTTTTAAGAAGATGTCGAGCGTGTATTGCGGCTGAAGGAAAACAGTTTAAGCATTTGCTGTAAAGGTAAATCATCATCAGCAGCATTTTGATGCCCACTGTTGTGCAAACAGTTATCCTTAAGGGTCCTTGTGCGTTTTCATAATCGCTGTTTAATTAGGAAATTTTGAAAAATTTTCATCAGTTTTTTTTTAAAATAAAAATTCTGCATAAGTTAACGAGTAATCTTCTAAGTGTTATACCATTTTGGAATCGTTATTAAATGCGCCAATTTTAAGGTTACTTGCCAAACTCTCGTAGTACATTTTTTTCCAGTACAGCCAGTTAAAGTTGAGCAAAGTTTTACTTTAGAATACTTGGTTGGGAAATAAGTGGCAATTTTTCCTGAACGAGAAAAGTTGGCAGTAAGGTTGAGACACCAGTTTGAAGATGCATTATTCATCGTTACAT